TGTTCCTATGGACTGTACTGATCAGCAACAAGTATGTTGTTTTAAAATAATTTTCAGTGTGTTAAATCATATCTTTTTTCTATATTCTTTAAATGCAACCTTCAGTTATTAAATTCTTTTCAATATATTTTTTTCATATGACGTTTCAGGCACTGCAGACTGGTCAACATTTAGATGAATTGGTTGTTCAGGACACTATAGAAAAAGACAAATCAAAGGTATTATCTATATCAAAATTTTTTTATTGTTTTATAAATGTTTTATGTTTATTTCAATTCCATTTTAATTTTTTTATCATCTAATTCTTTTTTTAATATATTTCAGAAAATCTTCAATCCTTATGTTCCTGCTTTGGTGAAACCTTCCAAAAAAGTAATGTTTATATTTGAAATTGTTATTTTTTTAATTATATTTTTCTATTTAGCTTCTTTTTTGAATTATATTTTAAATTACTATTTAATTGTTTTTAAATTGTTTATCTTTTCTGCTATATACTATTTTGTGTTAGGCTGCTCCTTCATCATCTAAGAGGACAACCCGTAGTTCGGCCATAGAAATGTGCAACCTGATTAGTTCAATAAAAATCCTTGTGGTGCTCCTTCTAAACTGCCTAAGCCATTTGATGGGGAAAAGAGAGTCATCCGTGGTTCTTTTCCACTTGATCAAATTTTTTGGAATGAATATAATCCAATCATTGAAGGATTTCAAAAATGGTTAACGACGGGTTTATTTGATATCCCGAAGCAAACTGAATCTGGGTAATCTCCTATTTCTGTTTTTGTTTTAATTAATGTTATAAATATTTATTCAGTACATTATTTTTTAATATTTCTTTTTTTTTTCATAATTAATTTTTTTTTTTTTTTAGCTTGGTATACTACAAGAAGCAGTCTTCACAAGTGAAGAATGGGTTTGATTTCAATGTAGCCAAAATTTATGAAAAATCCTGGTTCCTTGTTCTTGATGCATGCCATAAATTCCTGGATTCTACGGTATGTGATAATCATGTCTTCAATATATATTGTTTTTTTGTTTCATATGTTTTGTCTGTTGTAGATTGGTGTGATTTTATATTAGTTTAATTCTTAATATCAAATTATTTCAATGCACTATTACATTTTCCTATTATTAATTTTTGGTTGTTTTGTTGTTTTTTATTTGTTTCTTTTTTCTTTTTCAAAAAAAAAATTAAAAACAGCACGTTGACGTCCTTTTCTATTACTTGCGAAAGATGGCTTTTCATTCCCTGCCTTGTGTTGTTGAGAGTGTCACTACCACAGATCTTATTTTCCATCAAAGGATGAAGAATACTTATGATAATTACTGTTCTTCCAAAAATCTTCAAGAAGTTTTCCATCCTGACAATGATATTCTGGATTATATGTCGGGGTATAAAATTATATGTGGGAGGAGTTGGACATCGGTTGATCATGTGTTGATGCCTATTCACACTGAGATTAGTGGTTGGGGACATTGGATTCTTGGAAGATTTTCCGTTAAAGAGAG